GAGAGAGAAAGAGAGAGAGAGTGACAGAGAAAGAGACAGTGACAAAGAGAGAGAGAGTGACAGAAAAAGAGACAGAGTGACAAAGAGAGAGAAAGAGAGTGATAGTGAAAGAGACAGAGTGACAAAGAGACAGAGAGAGAGAGAGAGACTTTGAACAGTCACTAAATGAACTGTTGTAAGTCGAGGACTACCAGTAGTGTAAGACTGGGCTGAGAGGGGGTGTCTGCTGGCTTTTGCCATTCCTAGCTAGAAAAAGAGGGAAAGGAAAACCAGCGATGCCAGGAACAATGTCTTTGTTGACGCCAATCCCGCAGCGAGATACAAGCAGTCGCTTTGTCCCAGAGTCGGGCTTGGAAGGCTGGTGAATGTCTCCTCTGTGCCGCACAAAGTGGGAGGGGTGTCAGCCTGGGTAGCCGTACAGTAGCCGGAGTTGAACTGCCGAACGTTTTTTTTCTGCGGAAGGGTCAGGGGAGGGTCCCGTAAGATCCACCCGAGGGAAAGAGCTAGCCCTAAGTGGGAGAAATCGGGTCCGAAGGCTAGACTGGGACGGATCTCCCTGAGGAGAAGCTGCCCCATGTCGGAGAAGCGTCACCTCGGTTTTCTTGGCAAGCTCCCCTTCGACACACGCGCAAAGAAGAAGGCGTGCAAGAAAGTGCTTAAGAGAGAGGAAAGGTAAGATGCAACCCCCCCACCCCCTACAGCAGGGGATGGAAAAGCAAACAGGAAAGGAAAACCCCACAGCGAGGTGATCTCCAGCAGGAGGAAAGATATGCTTGCGTACACTGACATGTGTGCCAGTTGATAAGGAAAATATATTGGCGCCTGGGGGTGGTTTTTAGGCAGGGGTGGGGGGACCTACTTACTTCTTCCGGGATTGCTCGAAGAGATGTAAAAAGCAAGAACTGGTTTCAACTGGCTCCGCTTATCCGAAGGGCTTTACATTAAAACTGGAAGGGGAGGGGGTTGTCGTTCCACACTTGGAAAACCGCGTCCAAGTTCTGGTCCCCCGTGACACAAAGAAAGAGATCCCCAGGCCCCTTAGAAAGAGTGCAGAGAAGATCCGCCAAGGTGAGAAGGGATCTGCAGGATGGACCGTACAATGAAATAGTTGAGGTAAGTTTCTTAGTCTCATGAAGAAAAGGACTAGGGGTGAGATGATAGCAGTCTTCCGAGGGGAACCTATTCTGCAAAGCTCCTGAGGGCAGGAGGAGGAGTAATGGATGGATGGAAACTTGGCTCCAGCCTGGCACTAAGGAGACATTTCCTGACAGGGAGGACAATTATTCAGTGGAATGGCTTGCCTTCAGAAGTTATGGGTGCTCCATCACTTGAGGTGTTCAAGAAGAGACTGTAGAACTGTTTGACAACGATGGTATATTACAAGGTGCCCTCCCTTGAGCAGCGGGTTGGGCTAGACTATCTCCAAAGTCTCTTCTAATCTTGCTATGCCATATTCTGTGTTCTAACTGGCATGGTTTTAAGGGGGTGGTTTCAGCCCTGGTGAATTCTTGCTCCAACCACGCTCTGTGCGTGAATGCGTATTTATTTTTTCTGCTTCTTTTGCATCCTCTCTCACATTGTACTAAATTCTCAGCTATGTCCTATGTAAAAGGACCACTCAAAAACAACGAACAGCTCATAAATCCAACCAAAATACAATCAACCCAGGGGTGGGATTCTACCAGTCCGCCCTTATTCGCTAGAACCGGTTGTTAACATTCTAAGCAGTTGGGAGAACCGGTTGTTAGAAGAAATTACTGGGCTAATCCTGTAAGGAAGGCAGGAAGGAAACATTCTGGTGTTGCTTACAGAAACTGCCTCTCCATTAACCCTTATTACATTCTTGGCAGGACTAGACTTCCTGTCTCAGGAACTTCTCTGCAGTTTTTTCCCCCTCCTTTGCTAATACTTTACTTGTGTGGAGTGACCATTTAAAGTTACAATGGCACTGAAAAAAGGGACTTATGACCATTTTTCACACTTACGACTGTTGCAGCATCCCCACAGTCATGAGAGGCGTGCCTCGATGTGAGTGATATTGAGTTGGCCACACCCAGCCAATAACATGACCACCAAGCCATGTCCACCAACTAAGCCACGCCCACAGAAACGGTTGTTAAAAAATTTGAATCCCACCCCTGACAGGGATGGTTGAAAATTGAAACTCCCTAGGATTAAAAAGCAGGAAAGGCATTCTGAGTTTACTTCCAAGTTGGGTTTTTTAAAAACAAAAAAACAAAACACCAAATATTGTTTCAATAACGCCCACTAAAATTCAAGCTGCTTCTTTCAGGTGCTGTTCAGAATTATTACTCGTTGCCATGCGCCCTTGTGTGGGAAGTGGTGAGAGAAACAGTCACGTAGTAAACACTTCCATGTTAAAGAGCGAAACCTGGAAAACCCACCCTGAGACATCATGGGTGTGCAGGTGTTACTGCTTCCCTCTCTACCACTGGGGCATATTAATCATTAACCTGCAGGCCAAGGTAGAGGATGGGAAGAGAGGATGGGTGGAGCTCACATCCGTAGCCCCTGACCGGGCAGGTAAAAGAGTCCAGTCTTTCTGGAATTGTACTCAAGCCCCCTCGTTTATAGAAGAAGAAGAAAAAATACAAAAAAATACGATATTAAGGGACCCTTCATCTTAAAAGAACTCTTTTTTCCCCAAAGGTTCTGCTCAGCTTCGCAGAGTTTGGAAGCCATCCGCTTGCGTTCTTGTCCCTTTTTCAATGACGTTGTAACTTCGAAATGCTCACTAAACAAATTGTTGTAAGTCGAGGGCTACCTGTGTATCCAAGGAGCCACATAAGATCTGATGGCCATGTCCCCAGGTGGTTGTGCCATGTGGTGAGCTCTGTTGACAGATAATCCTATTATGCCCTGGAGCAGGGCTCTTCAAACTTGACAGCTTTAAGACTTGTGGACTTCCACTCCCAGAGTTCCTCCTCCAGTCATGTTAGCTCAGGAATTCTGGGAGTGGAGGTCCACAAGTCTTAAAGCTGTCAAGTTTGAAGACCCTTGCCCTGGAGCGTCTTAATCCCATACCCTTGGAGCTGAAGGTCTTCTGTCTTGTAGGCAGACTGGCCCAGTCCTCCTCAATGGGCACCAAAATACCTGCAGGCAGGGAGCTGCTCTGTGTCTAAACATCACATTTCTCCTTTTTTCATCCATCAGGGAAATGTAATATTCTGTCTTTTTAATATTTCCTAGAATATTTCATTCTTCTAGGAGAGTGGTGGGGGTGCTAACTTTCTACACTGCCAAAGACCCTGGAGGGGAAAGAGGGCGAGCTGTTTCAAAGGTCCAGGTGGACTTTTGTTGTGGCCTGCCAGCAGCCAGCAGAGCTGAGGGCACACTCGGACAGTGAAGAGGTTGGAGGGGAACATGGGCCAGTCCTGGAGTCTGGGGAAGGCTCTGACGAGGGCTCTGCGTCGGAGGCAGAGATGGAGCCAGGGCCCTCTGACAGTTCTCAGCTGCCTTCGGGATTCGAGGTCAGCGGGGAAGAAGAATAGCTGGAGCCTGTTCCTGATGTGCGCATGCGCAGAGCTGCCAGGAGAAGGGAACAGCTAACGAACAAGGATCAACTCAGGAATAAAGCCACAGGTGGACGGTGAATGGCCCCTCCCATGGGGAATAAAGAGGAGGGAAAGGGGAGTGGGGTTTGCAGGAGACACTTAGTTCATTTAATGAGGGTGAAGATTTGTTCCTGACTCCTTGCCAAGTATTTTCTGATACAGCTGATGCTTGGAAGCCATCAGCCTGGCAGCTCTCCAAGCCTGATAAGGTCTGTGGTTGTAAATCACTCTTGAAAGACTGTTTGCCAGGACTTTGCTGCATGCGAATGAGAGGAATTCACATTAGCCTAATAAAAAAGGTGTTTTTTTTGTCGGGATGAGGAGCCCTGCTTCGTGATTTTGGGAAGCCTGGGTCAGAACAACTCTCTTTGGCCAGATGAGAAAGAGACTAGAAGCACCACTCTCTCCATTGAGATTCGTCTTTTCGTCGCCAGTTTGTATCAGGTTCCTCCCGAGTTCTGTAGGATCCCCTGCAGAAGAAGGTCAGTCGGAGACAGAAGCGGTGGTGTTGAATGTCAAGGAAAGGAATAAAGGAGCCTTGTTCCCCATTCAGGATCCATTTACAGTTTCCATTCATTATTCATTGGGGAGGAAAATCTCAGCTGTATCAAACCGGCCCTCACAAGACACACAAAAAAAGCCCACCCACTCCCTTCCTCCATGAGATCTTGACCAATGTAGACAAAGGCAGCTAGCAAAATGGTCATTCTTGGGAGCTTAGGCATCCTCTGCACTACAGAAGAATTCTGCCAACCTATCAGTTTGAAAGCATGTAAAAAATGCAAGTAGAAAAATAGGGACCCCCTTTGGTGGGAAGGGAACAGCGTTCGGTGCGCCTTCAGTGTTTAGTCCTGTCGGCCACATGACCACGGAGACGTCTTCGGACAGCGCTGGCTCTTCTTCAGCTTTACCTTACTATACTTTGTACACAGACCAGGATCTGTGAGTAGAAAGCATTGTATGCAGAACCTTCTTCCTTTCACCTTCCCAACTTATGTTCACCTTCCAGTTGCGGTATGCGTCCCCTCTGCAGGCCCGCCGTGACCCTCCCCCCCCTCAGCCCTGCAGGCCCTGGATACAAATTCCCTCGTCCTGCCACAGAGGACAACCCTGCTGCAATGCAGCTGCTCTCCTTCTGTACTCTTTCAGTCTTGCAAATAAGCAAGGCTTCCCTCCTGTCCAGCCGGCGAGTTCAATTCCTCTGGACTCCTGCTGGCGACAGGCAGGCGCTGTTGCCTTTTTTTGCTCTCTCTTTTGAGCTGACTCCGAAGAAGCAGGCGGCAGTGGGACGCAGGCTGACCAAGTGTGCGTGTGGAGCAGTTATCTCTGCTTAGAGAGACCCTTTCCCTCCCGAGTAGACTCTGATGTGGTTATGAAAGGGGACGGGGACTGCATAACCACTAAGGGGAGGGGGGGGAGAAATGCCAAAGTCAGCTAGAACGCCAGCGTCCAAACGGCTTCACCTGACACCTGGGGTATGTAGGAGGCGCTGCTGCTGCTGCTGCCTCCTCTCCAGATTGAATTATTAATCGGGAACTTCACCTCGCTGCTCAGCCTCGCTCCCTTCCCACCTGCAGAGGGTGGGCTGACGGAAAGGTAGGTTCACCTTGGCACCTCCAGATTGTCATTGGTGTCTCCAATTGCAAATGCTTCTGGTTTTTTTTTACAGGGCTTTAGATGATAGTCCCAGCAATGATCCGATGCGGTGATTCAGTGCAAGAGAATCCAAGGAGTTAAGACTTTCTCCAAGCCATGTGTTATTTTATATAGTTCTGATGAGCCAACATTTTCCCATGCTTGCTTGCTTGCTTGCTTACCTGCTGAATGAACGCTGTCATCCTTTCCCTAACTCTCCGTTTCTCCGGTTATCGTACAAGGTTTAAGGAAAACCTCTCCACGATCGGTTTACCCTCCGGGATTCCCCGAAGAGCAGCTGTCGGCCAGTTGCTAAGCCGCCATGAATCCAGATGCATCGTGGCTTGTATTTCATATTGGGGCTGGACCCTCCAAGGTCCCCCCTCCCAGCTGCATTCCGATTTTTCTTTTTACGCAGGGATTTGTCGCGCAAGGCGAACCAACCGTTGTTGTTTTCTCCGTTTCTTCTTTCAGACGATCATAATGTCGCCCCCAGGGAAGAACTGGAAGTCCATGGCTAAAGGCCTCGTTCTGGGGACTCTACTCACCAGCTTCATGCTGGTTCTCTATTCGTACAGTGTCCCACCCTTGCAAGTCGGCATGACCGAGTGAGTGAACCCAGCGTAGGCGGGACGACCGCAGGGGTGGGCTTCAAAAATGTGAGCAACCGTTTCTCCGCCCAATGGCTGGGTGGGCAGGGCCATGGTGGGTGTGGCCTAGTCAGCCTCCTGCACCATGGGGAGGGGGGGTGTTTTCACCCTCCCCGGGCTCCAGAGGTTTTTCTCGAGCCTCTGGGAGGGCCAAAACATCCTCCCCGACAGAGGTGGTATATTCAGCAGGTTCTGACCAGTTCTGGAGAACCGGTAGCAGACCTTTTGAGTAGTTCAGAGAACTGGCCCATGCCGCCTCCGACTGGCCCCTCCCCCCTCTTTTCTCTGCCTCCCATTGAGTCCCAGCTGATCGGTCGGGTCCTCTTTGGTTGCCCTGCCCAGGAGAACGGAGCTGGAAAGCAGGTTAGTGGGGTGGGGAGGGAAAGGGGATTTTGCAGTATATCCTTCCCCTGGCACGCCCACCAAGCCAAGCCACGCCTGCTAAGCCATACCCACAGAATCAGTAGTAAAAAATTTTTTTTGAATCCCACCACTGACCAGAGGCCAATGGCAGGTCTGGAACATTTGCTGAGCAGAAAAGGAGTGACAACGTCTCCTGAATTCCGGGGGAGGGGTTGGGGGAGAGAGAAAAACAAACCACACCCTTATTTATTTTTCCTTGTTTTTTTTTCTTTCCTTCCACCCAGGATTCCCATACCTTATTCATGCTCGTCCTACCGCAGCCAGGCCCGACTCTCTGCTTCGGGGAACAGCAGCCAGGGCTCCCCAAGAGAAAAATGCCTCCCCAGACTAAACATCATGTTCCTGAAGACCCACAAAACAGCCAGTAGCACCCTCGCGAATATCCTCTTCCGCTTTGGGGAGAAGCACCGTCTCAAGTTCGCCTTCCCCAACGGGCGCAGTGATTTCTACTACCCGTCCTTCTTCGACCGCAGCCAGGTGAAGGACTACCAGCCCGGCGTGTGCTTCAACATCATTTGCAACCACATGCGCTTCCAGTACGAGGAAGTGCGCAAGCTGCTGCCGGCTGATGCCCTCTTTGTGACGGTGCTGCGGGACCCGGCCTATCTCTTCGAGTCTTCTTTCCATTACTATGGGGCCCTCATTCCTTTGACCTGGAAGGTGTTGGGAGACGATAAGCTGTCCGAATTTCTCAGGGACCCTTGGCATTACTACGACCCTAAAAGCTTCAACGCACACTACCTCCAGAACCTCCTTTTCTTTGATTTGGGCTACAACAGCAACACAGACCCCAACAGCCCCCTGGTTGAAGAGTACATCCGCGAGATCGACGGGCGTTTCCATCTGGTCATGCTTCTGGAGTACTTTGACGAATCTCTGGTGCTCCTGAAGGACCTGTTATGTTGGGAGCTGGAAGACATCCTCTACTTCAAGCTGAATGCCCGCAAGGGCTCCACCGTCTCAAAACTGACCGACGAGCTCTACCAAAAAGCCACGGTTTGGAACCTCCTGGATGCCAAGCTCTACCAGTACTTCAACACCACGTTCTGGCACAAAGTGGAAGCCTACGGGATGGCCAGGATGGCGAAGGACGTCGCCAGGCTCAACGAAGAGAACGAGAAGATGAAGAGCATATGTATCGACGGGGGCCAGCCCGTGGACGCCAACGCGATCCAGGAATCCGCCATGCAGCCCTGGCAACCTTTGGGCGAGGAGTCCATCCTGGGCTACAATTTGAAAAAGAGGATCCACAAAAAGCACCAGAAAATTTGCCGCAAAATGCTGACCCCCGAGATCCAATACCTGACGGACCTCGGGGTCAACCTGTGGATCACCAAGCTATGGAGGTGGGTGATGAATTTTTTTGCAGCGGTAAGAGGGTGAGGAGGCCCCTCGCCATGTGCTAAGCACCTCTTCCCTCCGCTCTTTTGGTTCCTTCCCTTTCTACTCTCTTCTTCTACTGGTTGGTCAGGCATATGCTGAACTCACCTTGTGGCCACCGACTGAACGGGAAAATTATCTCTAGAATAAAATGTTCCCGAAGGTGATTTTTTTTTTTAAAAAAAGGGAAAAGTTGACCAAGGCTTGTAACCAAAGTAGGGAGAGAAGGTGCTGTACCTATGACTCAATTTTTGGCTGGACTTTCGGGCAAGAAGAAAGTCAAACTGAAGCAGAAGGCTCAGTCTGCATTCTCAGCTCTCGGAAGTTGTTCCGCTGTTTTTATCCTCCCGATGAGCACGGTGAAAACCAGACCAAGAAGCTTCCAACCAGTTGCAGTATTTGGCCATTCGGAATCTCAGTTCCCTTCTCAGAGTCCACAATCGTCACGAGTACAATATGAGTGCGAGGAGATAACGTGCTAGTACATTGTTTCTTTTCTTTGTGAGGAGGAGGACTGGATGCCCATTTCCTAGAAGCAAATCGAACAGGTAGCTTGCCCTGAACGATGGGAAAGAGAGAGAAGGTGCCTTGGTGGAGCAGTACAATTTTTCGTGTACGTTGAGCAGATCTGCCCCAAAAACACTGTTGTAACCTCCGAGTATTGTAATTTTCTGCTGAAATTTTGGAGCACCAAATCCTAGTTTTCAGGAAACTTTGCAGAGAGAGAAGCCAAGGGCTCAATTTGGCATCGCTGTTACAGTTTTACAGTGCCAGCATCCCTGTGTGAAACTTATGTATTTGCAGTGAGCTACACGTGCTATGAATGTGTATTTCTGTAACAGGTGCGTACATAAATTCCCCCGTTGAACCACAGTGGTATTTTGTTCGCTTGCGTTTACTATGTTCTCAAACCGGCGCTGAGCATTTTGTCGCTTGCACGAATGGGAGCTGAGTGTATTCTTCCCTGGGTGCCTCCAATCCCTCTCTGCTTTAAAATTGCACAAAAACAGGGTGTAAAAGGCAAAGGTGGATTTTGCATGAATTCACAGCATTCTGGGCAGTCCATTCCAGTCAACGAACACCAATGCAAGTCCTCTTCTTGTAATTTCAGGGAAACTGAGGCAGTGGATCATGGCCAGGAGAATTGCTACTCAATAGGAGGGAGAGGATTGGCCAGGCAATTTGTTTTTGTTTTTTTTCACAAACCTCTCTTTTAATTGCATTTGGTGCTTACAGAGAGAGTTGATTTGGAGTCGTCTTATGGATTTCTGAATTACAGATTCCACTGTGGGCGAGACTGGATGTATCTTGCACCGACTACTCTCAGAAACCATCAGTGTGCAGTGTGGTTTCTTTTGCTCATAAAAAAACATGTTTTTATTTTCACTCAGTAGTTTAGTAATAAGTGGGTTTCTTTACATATTCTCTTAAACATTTGAGTTATCAGCAAATGGGCTGAAAAACCAAACAAAAACATTGCCTGCTGAGGCACCCCAAACATTCACTGTCACTTACCCAAATCCAATAAATGCAAGCTATTCTCAAACAAAAGAAAAACAGAACGTTGATCATTTCTGGGTTTCAAACCCTATCCTGGGGGGAACAGGATGTGATGATAAAAAAATAAATAGGGGAGCTGCAAATGCTATTAAAAGATAGCCAGAAAAAAAACACTTTGGGTTTAATTGTTGGTATCCACAGAATGCTTGGACCTTTGTGCGTGGGTGTCTGTGTGTACAAACGTCTATCTGTGTGTTTTCTGTATGGTCACCCAACTGAGCCTTGAAACATCTTTTATACGTCCAGGTGCAACAAAAACCCATCCTGATTTCCTCCTTCAAATACAGGCTTGTTATTCTAACTACCCAGAGCTAATAACCTCAAAGATCTCACGAGTATTTTTCCTCCCTTTGAGGAGATCTGAGTTCCCGCACAATAGGATCCAGACAGGGGTAGGATGCAAATTTTTAAACTATGGGTTCTGTGGGCGTGGCCAGGTGGTCATGTGACTGGGTGGGCGTGGTTTTTTTTTTCCTCCTGGGCCTCATAAAAGCCTCCTGGGTGAAGCAGAACAACAGCAAGGGGGGAATCAGCTGCTCTGCATAATTTAGCTGAGCTAGAAAGCAAGAAATCCAACAATCTAAATCCAGCTAATCTAAACCACGTGGCACAGCTGATCTTCAGAAAACAGCTGATCGGTGGGCGGGGGGGGGAGGAAATACCTTGATCTTCGGAGCAAACCGGTTCTCTCCCAGCTGATCTTCGGAGCTACCAGTTTGCCCGAACTGGGCTGAACCGGTAGAATCCCACCCCTGGATCCAGAATGAAAACTGGCGTCCTTACCAGGAGTTCAAACCTTCAAATCATTGAGGACAAAGTGGGAAGAGAAAAGATGTTCATTTTTTTCTGGTCCTCACAGCCAAGACCCTTCAGGGTGATTATGCTCCACGAAGAGGTGACTTCCCGTGTGGGTGATCCTGAAGGATCCAGTTGAACGCCAGAACCAAATATCAGTCCTGGGAAACCCTCTTACCTGGAAAGGTATCAGAAGCAGAGGGTGAAAAAACAGAGAGGGCGATAGGCTGCCGTGATTTTAAAGGAAACGCTTCTGCCCTAGCTGTGCACATTCAGCATGACATGTAAAACATAAGACTGTTTGAATACAAAGATCTGCTGATGGTTCTCAGTCTTGCTTCCTTCCCCTCCCGCCAAACCTGTTAATTTAAGATAGTCCAGGATGCCACATAATCGGTGATGGGATTCAAATAATTTTACGACCGGTTCTCTGCCCGAACGATTTCTTCCAACAACCAGTTCACCAAATTGCTCAGAAAGTTAACAACCGGTCCTCCTGAACCAGTGTGAACCGGCTGAATCCCTGCACTGCACATAATTGATTGTCCAAGAAATTTCCCCCAAAAAAGGCAAGATTGGAAATCTCTTGATATGTATCAAAACCATCAAATCCATGGATGGTTTCTCGGGAGAGGCTAGTTGTCTCTTAAGTCTGCTGGTATCTTCCTCTTCCCCTCGACCCCGCCTCATAAGACACGTTGAGAATCTCCCAGATCCTGGTAGTTACATCTCCCATTGCTTGCAAACAGCCAGGATCCTCGGGGATCCAGGCTACAAGCTGCATCGGGCAATCCAATCAGTGTTTGCTATGAAAATTGAACCCGGTGGCCAGGTGGGAGATCTCCTAGCTCCCCTTAAAGGGAAATGAGCCACCTTAAACAGGAACCATGGAGGACTGCTTGCTGAGGCAATAAAGCAGGGGTCTCCAAATTTGGCCACTTTTAAGACTGGTGGACTTCAACTCCCAGAGCGGCTGGCTGGGGAATTCTGGGAGTTGAAGTCCACCAGTCTTAAAGTTACCAAGTTTTGAAACCCCTGCAATAAAAGCAAAAACTGAGCACAGCTCTCTTTGCCTTATTGCCACTGTGAACACGCATTTTTATTTTTTAATCTTTCCCACCCGTGAATTCTTCTTGTTGCTGGTGATTCAACTTCCCAGAGGGTCTCAGTGAACCAAGGCTCTCCCAGACTCGGTCCTCAGGGTCTACTGGGAAGGAAGCATCATGTTCTCAGGCCCCATCTTTCCTGCCATTTAGTTATTTGATGTTTATCCCATTTAGTTTTCTGATTTATAAATAACTCAAAGACAGCAAACATACATACTACCCCCTTCTCCTGTTTTCTCCATAACAACAACCCTGGGAGGTGGGCTGGCCAAAGAGTGATTGGCTGGAAAAGTTATCCAGCCCGCTTTCAGGCCTAAGGGCAGGACTAGAATTCACAGTCTCCCAGGGATTTGCTCAAAGTCACCTAGCCTGCTTTGATGTCTAAAGTGGAATAGACATTTCCTGGTTTCTAAGCCTGCGCCTTAACCGCTACACTAGTGGCTTATCGGGTATTGAACCAAGTGACCTGCCGTACCTGCCACACCCTGGGAAACTTCCAAGCATCCTCAAAATCGATTACAAACATTGGGCACCTACAATGAACAGTCCAAAGAATTTGCGCCCAGTGTATCCTGAGTTATTCATTACCTCTGCATCAAAGCATGGTGTGACTTCCTCCATCTCCAGATCATACAACACCTGCTCTAAAAAACAAACAAACCAAGATCAAAAGTATGCTCACCTACATAGTATTATTTGAAACCCACAGTTGTCATGGAGTCTAGGAATTCCCATGTTTTACCGAAAGCCATGGCAAGGCACGGTGGTTCTTGTTAGTATAGTTTATCTTAATAAAATCTAGTTCTGGTCTTCCTCCAGCCTAGTCTACACCTTGTAGAGCTAGCTAGCTGGCTGGCTGGCTCAGTATGACATGTTATCTCCAAACCAATCTGGCTTGCTTGGCAAACCATGATTAAACCTAACCCAGCTGTTACAGACCTTCCTTTGTTAAGTTATGAGATCAATGCTGCCCATTGCTTTGGCTGAAGATACCTCAGGCTGTGCGTTCTTCAAAAATGATTCCAAAGAAGTTTTTTTTTGTTAATGTGGACTCACAACCCCTAAAGCATCCTTGGATTCAACCCATACACTTTTGTGTGAAACTTGAATATCCTCTGGCTGCTTTCATAAACAGCAGAAAAGAGTTACGGTCGCCTGAGGGTCAGAAAACTTCATCTGAATTCTCTTTGAAGCCCTAGTACAGAGGTCTCTAAACTTGGCAACTTTAAGACTTGTGGACTTCAACTCCCATAATTTTCTAGAATTCTGGGAGTTGAAGTCCACAAGTCTTAAAGTTGCCAAGTTTGGGGACTTCTGCCCTAGTAGAAACAATCAACACATGTTCAAATATTTTGCTGGCCCATAAACTGGCTTGCTTGCAAACCCCAACATTGACAGCTTGTAAACTTGCTAGGTTGGGGCAAGCTCAGACAATTGTGGCTTCCTCAATAAACCCTGGTTTAACATGAGATGGTAACCCAGGTGCACATAAATTTGCTTCTGTGCCTTTCATAAAAGCATTTAGCACGAACCACTAAAGACAGAACAACAAGTGGTTGTGAAATGAAGAGGGACAGTGGCCAAGTAGTTGAAAATTTGTCCTTGTCAATTCTAACATCTATGGGATCCAGCTCATATGTCATTCTGAGCAATGGTTAATTAAACCCTGGTTTATCAAATCAAAATTGACTGAGGTTCACATCTCACACTAAGCCAGAGGCAGTCTCCAAACTTGGCAACTGTTAAGCCTTGTGGACTTCAACTCCCAGAATTCCTCAGCCTTGCTTTACCTTTCTAAACGTTTCAAGCCATTTCTCTAACATTAAAATCATTCCAATTGTCTGAAACCAAATTCAGGTTTGAATTATTTCCCCCCCCCCCCCCCTCTAAGAGACCTGTCAGCGATTTCTGATAGGTCTCTTTGCTGGCCCCTCCAGACAAAACAAAAAGAAAAGAAAAGAGAGAGAACTCTAACCTTCAGTTTGGGCCCTTCTTCTTGAAAATTTTCGATAATGAGAAGACCAGGTTGAGCCTCCAGCAGCACCTGTGTGTTTCTGGGTGGGGCTATCTCTGGGGAGGAGATAAAGAGATGCTCATGAGACATAGCCTGGCTTCCTTCTTCTGTGTTGCAAGTGGAGAGCCAGCAAGATGGGACTTCAGAGGACCATTTCCACACTCTTGGTCTGGATGCTGCTGGAAGCCACAACAGCTCAAAGGGGTAACCATGGTTTTTCTCTAGGTCACAGCTGAGTTAGGAGGAAGTGGCTGCAGGTGAATCTCATTCTCTCCACTGGGAACAAGGCTTTTTTCTGAATTGCAAGAAAGAGGTGGTGGAAATAGAAATACATTTTCACTCCCTCGTTCTTCTGATGGAGTTTTAAGGAGGAGCTGAACCTGGAATTGTCC